TCAGACTCGAGTGCAGTCACGCCTCCGCCCGCGACCTTGAGAAGACCACCAGTGAAAGACCCAGAAAATCGTCTAGAGGGTGGCTTGAAAGTTCACAAAATGGTCCATGTTCCTCCCAGTAACAATAAGAAGAATGGTGCCATGAGAAAGTGTCGAGTGTGTGCTAAGCATAAGATTAGAAAAGAAACAAGTGTCATGTGTGCAAGCTGTGGTGTGGCTCTCTGCAAACTTTCATGTTTCAATGTTTATCACACGAAGAAAAACTACTAAAAAGGTATGGAAAGACATTTATTGCATAAAATATTGTATTTTTAATAGTTAATGAAAATTTCATTTTTAAAAACCAATTTTTGTTGAAGTTGTTTAGAAAAAAGTAAGCACATGCATCTTAGCGACATAATGTTTAAAGGGCCTGCCAGGACAGGGGTGGGATTTAAATACCCTTCGCGCCAGTCAAAGAGTTAAGCACAATAAGTAGTAAGAGTTCAAAGGTAACATTTTACAGCAAAGGCCAATACTGTGTTATTGACTGAAATGCTGACATTTATCCCCATCACCTTATGGCCTACAGCAATTAAATTATGTTAGATTTACATCTGGTTTCAATGGAAATGCCACAAACACCAATAAACATTAAGATAAACACAGCCCTGCTTAAACTAATTATGATGAATATTCAGACATGGAATTTTGAACAATTTCATATTAATGACTAAAGAAAGAGTAGGATATCAAAGTTTTATATCTGCACTTCAGAAATACAAAATAAAAAAGTATAGGATACAACTAAGAGAAAAAGAAGGAAATGAAAATAATTTCTTCCATCACTGAGTGGTAAAATGATGTATGGATACTGTAATAATATTTAAAAATTGTTAATTTTGAATAAATATGGTACTGTCACTACTCCAGACAAGGAGTGCAGAAAATATTTTCACAAAAACTAAACACAATTATAATGAAAATATGAAAAAAAATCAAGGAAACTGCTTCCACACCCTCAAACACTACACACAGAAGACATATTTTGTGTGTAAATGTCCAATACTCTGTAACTACACAAGTCTAAGAGTAACACAACTGTATCATGAAATGATACAAATATTTCCTCATGCTGAGTAACACTTGCATCAACAGATGTTTATGACAATCCTGGGGATGGAATGAATGGAACTTTTGGTGCCAACATTTCTGTATGGTAGCATAGGTGGTTGAGGCACTATGCTACAAGCCGGAAGGTCGCGGGTTCAAGTCCCGATGAGGTCATTGGATTTTTTTCAGTTGACCTAATCCTTCTGGCCGCACTATGGCCATGGGGTCTACTCAGCCTCTAACAGAAATGAATACCAGGAATTAATTAAATAATTTTCCTGGAGAGTAAAGCACGGCTGGTGTGTAAGGCTGACAACCTTACCGCCATCTTTGAGCCGATTGTCTAGATAATGTGGGACCCTCAACATCTCACAACCCTATGGGCCTTCAAGGCCTGCTACAGGGATAGCTTTACTTCTACTTACTTACTTTACCAAATAACTCTGTATTTCTGCACCGTCCAAAATGTTGCCAACCACTTTGGTCAAAATGTTTCATTTGTCATAATCACTAATATCGAGATAGTATAATCACCAGCATACTCCATGACCCTGCAGTCATTATCGGAACCACCACATCCCCTGTCCTCAATTCATATCCTCTAGTCTCGACTTTCGTGTCATGGTCAATTCTGAACAAACAGATTGCTCACTTGAACACTGCATGAAGCCTGCAATAAGATTCCTCTGCTCCCCTGAGTGCTACAGCGAAGGACCAAGCACATCGAAGCTGACAGAGGGGATGATTATAAATTTTTGGCACTGCAACCTAGGGCATCAAGAATGTTCTATCAAGGAGGATTTATAGTGACCGGCAAAAAGCTAAAAGTGTTGGAAAATTTAGATAACAAAACCACTGTGACCATCTGGGAAAACATATGACAACACTGCTCACACATGATCCATAGCAGGCCACAGATGGAAGGATACACAGGACCTCAGCACAAACCTCAGGCATTCACCTATAAAAAGGTGGTTAAAAGCATCATTTTTGTTATTTCACATATATCAATGAATAATACACATTGCCATGAACTATGAAACTGTCATTTATTAACAACTGAGAATTACAGCATGGATAATTATTTTACTCTCTATCCATAACAACCTATAAAAATGCTTTATACAATTAATTGCCTGGTTATGAGTTTCACACACATTTCTTCATCATCCAACCATTATCAAATACATAATATATGCACAGGATGACATGACGTGCTATGACAGGATACCACTGACTAAGGATTCTGGAGGCTTAGGAATTGTTTAATTTTTGAAGTAACACCCTTCACATGCTAGACATACAGAGGCGTCCAAAGAATGTACTCACTCATTGATAGTCAATATCTTTGGAACAAAAGGACATGTAGTTACAATTCTTGCACAGAGAAAGAGAGAGAGTGATTGTATGTGTTCGAAGTGACCACCATCAGCGGCTAAACAGCGCTGATGCCGCCAAACTGCTGAGTGAATTACGGATTTCAGTGTGTCCTGTGTGATGGCTGTACATAACACTTCAATGTTTTCTCGTAGCGCGTTCAGTGTAGCTGACTTTTGTTGATAAATTTCATCCTTCAAGGTTCCCCATAGGTAGAAGTCGAGAGGTGTAGGTCTGGAGACCATGGTGGGTACTCAATAGCACCTCTTCGACCTATCCATCGTCCAGGTGGTGTGTCATCCAAGTATGCTCTGACATCTCGATGGTAGTGAGGTGGAGCACCATCTTGTTGTAGGTAAAATCTCTCATCTCCAGACAGCTCTCGAATGGCAGGGAAAATCGATGTCTGAAGCATATCGAGATACACCTGACCAGTTACAGTACCTTCAAATAAGAAAGGACCGATCAAACCACACGATGACAGACCACACCACACACTAACACCTGGTAGATTCACTTCCTTGACCACGTGAACATGTGGATTTACAGGAGCCCAATACACACAATTGTGGTGGTTAACAGTACCGTTCATTTTGAATTGTGCCTTGTCAGACCAGATAACTTTCCTTGCAAACTCCTCATCCTCGCAAACCATGCCTTCAAACCACTCACAGTATTCAAGCCTTCGATCCAGGTCATTCTCGTTC